CCCAGCTCTGGTGACCCGTCCCCTGGCCAGCTCCCATGGCCAGGGCTGGGATGCAGGAGGCTCCTGGTGCAGCTGTTGGGTGGCCACATTCCACACTTCCCCTGTACAGCCACACTCCCCGACCTCAGCAACAGCCAGACCTCGGCCAGGTAACTCCAGAGCACAGAGGGAATGGATGAATAAATTCATCCTCTCATTCTGAGTTATGTTCATTTTTAACTTGCCTTGAGAACCCTGTTCTGTTTGCCCCCCAGGGCTGGTACTCACAGGACAAAACACGTAGAGGTGCTGATTGACTCGATTTCCTTCTCCCTGCAAACTCCCTCCTGATGGAAAACTACACTTTGCAGTTGTCTTTGCAACTGATACAGTATTAAGCCTTTTTTTCTGAGCGAACAAATTAAATTAGGAATTAGTTTGTTTAAAATATGAAATTAATTAATTTCTTTACTTAAAAGAAGCCAATCTTATAAGGCAGGAATGTTATTTCCGTTCTCTTTTTAGAGAGATAAGAAAAGGTTTTCAGTTTTTTCCATTAAGAATTTTTAAGTCAGGAACTATTACTGAGCTACTGTGACACGTTTTTGAAGGTAAAAGTCCAGCATAAATAGGGTTCAATGCACGTGGAGAGTTTTAAGTTTTTTAGTCCAAATGCCTTTTCCTTGTCACATGATATTTTCAGAGTTGAGAGGAACTCACATAATAATCTTGCACACAATCCAGTCTCCCAGAACTTGTTTCTTGTAAATGTAATGAACTTTACAGTGAATTTTTCATACTTCTAAATGGAGAAGTAGCAATAATTTTACTTTATATCCATTCCCAGTGCAACTGGAAAACTGTCCTTGTAGTTGTCAACTAGCAAAAGGTACACTTGTGTCCCTGTTCTCAAGAGTTATTACTCAAAGCACAGAAGGGAGCACATGACTGTACACTGACCTTCATCTGTTCCCAAATTATGTCTTTTAAAAGCCTTGAATCTGTTTAAGGGGAGCTGTTGAAACCTGAAACGAACCTGGTCTATTGCTTTATAAAGTAGATGAATGTAAAACTTAAGTATTACATTTCAGGCTCTTACTGTACTAAATATAGCAAAATTAGGATGAGGGAGAATATAACTGTAACCTGAGTCTGGTTTTAGAGAATAATTTTTTGTTACAGGTATCGATGGTTACTCTGTAATATTTGGTATGTTTCTATTTCTAACAGAAAATCACCACAAATGTTCTCCTGATCAAGATTTTTATTTTTAAAAGCAGAGTCCTTAAAAAAAATTACCAACTCCTCACCCCGCAAATCACACCCCCACAAACTGATAACCAGTTCTGACAGACCCAGGTCTAAAAAGAATCTTGAAATACACCTTGCATCTAAATTTTCATTGTTTGCATTCTGCTTGATTTTCATAAGGATATGTTTATTAATCAGCAAACACATCAGCTGAGTATTAAAGGAAAAATTACACTTAATTGGAAAAGTAAGCAGTGCGTTAAATAACTGCAGAAAGCATCTTTTGCTGTGTGTCACTGCCTAACACAACAGGCCAGAATTATGGAATGCTTACAAGCACCACCTCAATAAACTTGTTCAATAATTACACTGGAAAAGAGGTAATCAAAGATTTTTATTTTTTTTCGTTCATTTTTAGTAAACTTCACTGTTGCTTCTAACAATGTAATAAAACCTTATAATGAGCTCTGGTAATGTTCATCTGCATGTTTCAAAGAAAGATTAACTAAAATGTAACTCCACAGGACAGCAGTAAACTCCTTATTTTCCAAAAGAAAAAATGGCTTAGAAGTTGACAGATTTCTTGACAAGTTTGCAAATTTTTGACAGTTGTCAGATGGGAACTGTAACATTCATTAAGTAATTAATCTACTTAAATCGTAGAAACCTTCAGGTGGGAAGAGACTTTTGGAGACCATCTGATCCAATCTCCTGCTCAAAATCAGGCTAAATTCTAAGTTAGGTCTGATTTCTCAGAGCCTTGTCCAATCAAGGCTTGAATTTCTCCAAGGATGGGGGTTCCTCAGTCTCTCTGGGCAAAACATTCCAGGACTAAACTACTGTCCATGGGTATGTCCTTGTGTCCTAAGTCTTCCTTCTGTTACAATTTAAACCTAAATATGGTAAGAAATGCTGCTTCTTTTGTCTATGGACTCAGTTGTCTTCTGACAGCACAGGTTTTGAAAGTTTGCCTTGGCAACAGTTTATTGTGTGACCAGTAATAAACTGCAGAAGACTTTTTTCTAAGTGGCATGGAGGAATTAAGAATAAGCAATTACTTGTTCAACATAAATTACAGAGGTGACTCCAGGACTGATACTCTAGTTCTGAATGGTGTTGGTCTTACAAAAGCTTGGGAACCACACACTGTAGACTCATGCCCAGATCTGCAATAAATAAAAAGAAAAAAAAAAAAAGAAAAAAGCCTCCCCCTGTAATACCTAATAACAACTCTTCTATTTTAGCTCGTGCTTGTGGTACTCCAGCCTGCATACAGTTAAATGATCTTGCTGCACTGCAATATATAGTCACATTTTAAAAGGTGACTCACACTTTAGGCAAATGAAGTGACTATTGCAGTCCTCATGTTTTTGTCTTTATATAATTTAATCAGCTGTTCATCTGAACAGTTGGAAAGGATACATTTATACGACAATAACTTAATCTCTCGTGGTAAATATTTTCCTGTATCAAGTCTATCTTCTGATACAAATCTATTGAATATTGGCTTATCTTGACCTAATTTGAAATGAGAAAGAACACTGGGGTCCCAAAGGAACCCAGCACACACTGGGTTCACTGTCACACAGCAAGGAAGTCTGCCTTAAGCACATTTACTTGTGCTGCTGAAAGAGGATGACAGACAAAGACATGAGTTAGACACAATATCTGGTTTTATATTATTAGCACAGTTGTAGGTTTTTTTCTTCAGCATCAATAAATCCATTCTACATATCAATTATATGCAAATGTATAATACATACATATGTGTACTTTACAGATCTGACATTCCAATGCATATGTTCAATTTAGGTAAACAGCTTTATTAAAATAGGCTGTTTTTCTTTGAGCATTTAACAGTATTACAGCACTTTCAGAGGCAGCACAACTTCTGAATACTTCTGAAAAAATATTAAGAAAAAGGGATTTTATCTATGGAAAAACATCTACAATCTTCCTCAAGCAGACACAAGCACTAGGAAATCCTGACCAACAGGACATGTGTCCTGGAAAGCTCTCCTCTTCTTCAAGATTTATTCTTCATCAAGGGTAAAGAACGGTTAAGAGCTCTCTAAGTATGAAGTCCTCTATAATCCTCAGCAAGTAGTTAATGTGACTTTTCCATATAACAAGCACCACAGCTGCCCTACTAAGATACAGCAAAATGTGGGGCTTTAATGCATTATAAGGGATTTTGAACCTGACTAATGTATCTCATAATAATTGGCTTCCCAGTCACAAGTAGAATTTATGTGAAACCACAGATTTCCTACACAGAAAGTTCACATTATTACCTCTGGTGTCAGAAGCTGCAATGAATTACCTCATGAAAGAGTGTTAGACATTCTGCAGTTCAACAGTAGTCACTAATAAGTTCGGGTGGCAGCTGTTGTACATCTGAAGCTAACAAATGTTATGTGACCAGAGATGACTGGCATGACATGTGGCCGTAGCCTTTTTATAAAGTTATGTTCTCAACTATTTTAAAAATGCCCACAAAAGTCCTTCAGAAATACTGTTCCCAAGAAGTTCATGGAAAACTGATCCTTTAATACTTACCCCACTCCGTTAGTTGCATATATTCACACGTTATCACACAGTGATAAGCTGAAGTTTAAACAAAAATAGTAATACAAATTCATCCTTAAGTCATGTTCCCAACACTGTGACTTGAGGCTGGATTCATTTGCTACAATGGGCATATATTAGATTTCCAGCAATCAATTATCATTTCAGCCTTTGTATCTGTGATCATAAATTCAGGCACATGCCCATATGGACAGACAAAGTGCAAAGACAGAACTGTCTTCCAGAAAAATTCCAAAAGCAAGTGTGAAGTTCAGTAATGAAATATCACTCCCTACTCTGTCCTAGTTTCAAGCAGTACAGGCATTTTTAGTCTAGTTAATACTTTCCCAGTCTTTCTGGAAATTTTACTTTCATAATCTTTATATTGATAAAAAGTGTTGTTAGCCTTTTTTGTCCCTCACAGGCACCTACACACAAAAAGACTCATGGAAGGATTTAGAGGGTTCCAACAGAGCACAACGTCCAAAAATGCAACTGATTTTACTTACTTCATGCACAAGAAAAACACATCTCTTGACATGGTTCTGGTTATGTCACAAGTGTTTTTTTGCCATTAGTGTTTTGCACCACTTTTTACATTTAATAAATTTAGAAAAGCTTTTTCTAGGAAAATTTTGTTACCTATGTTTTTTATTTTTATCTTCCATGAGCAGATTAACTAAACTATTTATATGTCTTTTTCTAAAAGACACATAAATACTTTGGTTTTTAATAACTCTGAGACTAGGTCTGTTTCATATATACCTTATTTGTTATAATCTTGGATGAACTGATCTTTGAAGTCAGGAGTTAGTTGCTTTTCTTCCCCAGCAGAAGAAATACAATTAGAAAGACAGAAGAAAGTCCTTCCTTCAGGTGATATATTCCCACTCAAAAAAAGAAACTTTCATTTGTATCTTCTCTGTAATCACTAAAATGTACAGTACATCATGTGCTAAAACTCTAATATTTAAATAGTCAGGCGCAGACAAAACTTACTGAAAACATAATAAACCATGAGATTTTAAAACTTCTGCCAATTCCGTCTAAAACAGTGAAGGACTACCTGCAATTATAACAAAAGAAGTGAGAATTGAAGAGGAATTTGGAGGGGAAGAAACATCAACAGCTGATCAATGGAAGAGACTACAGCACGAAATACAACATAAAGACAATGGGAAATAACGTGATTCCATCGTTACCTGTCATGTGTTCTCATGAAATCCCAGAACTTCTTCGTACCATTCTGGGGAGAAAAAAAAAAATTAAAAATCCATCAGTCAAATTAATTCCAAGTGAAAAAATTACTATAATGGAATTGAATAAAATTTAACAGGCATTTCTTTAAAAACTTAGTATAGCTGGTTTTATTTATGAGACCATCCTTCTTTGTTTTGACAGTATTACAGGTGCTGAGAACTGTCTCAGAACAGTTCAAAATCTCAGATCCACAATATCATGATGACAGCTAATGCCAGATTACTGTAGTCTTCAGGCCCAATTTTGGCCACAGCATCAATTCAGATGCCTAAGCTAATCATTCAAGGTGTCAGGAAGCTATAAACAGCCACGTTTTAAACTGTAAAATAACCCATAGATCTATGTTTTTCCATGTCCAGAAATGGTCTGGAGTGGACAGCTCAGCATTTACCTCCTAACTAAACTCCTTTGGGATCCAGGAACAAGACATCCTTCACTCTCACCCCTTACAAGGCCTAAAATAGCAGTTTTGTCCACACCTAACATACTCCATTCTACACAGCAGCTGTTCCTCTGCACTGCTGGTGGTGCTGAGAGCACTGTCTAACAACAGGTTTGAAGTCACAGCACTCACCCAAGAACTAGGAGACATAAAATGGATTATTTTCCCAAGATGGGCTTAAAAAGAACGATATCCACTACAGCACAGCTGAAAGTCATCTCTGAAAACAGGTATTATTCGACAGTTATAATGAACAGGTATACACTTGCTTACATTTATAGCTTCTACAGTCACCTATAGCAATTCATACACACCAGCTGGAGACATGTATATAATTCCTCACCCTGCTTATTAGAGGTGTGATGTATTTCAGCTGAAATACAAGTCAAGAGATTTCACTCCCAGGTCAGTTTTAAGTTTATATGAGGAATCAGAATGCAACCAGAGGAAATTCTTGTGGTTGATACCTTTTTCTTATTAGCAACACAAAAACTAGACCTGCTGAAAACCTACATACCCAAAATATGCTTAATGTGAAAAGCAGCACTAGGTTTCTATTATAAAGTATGGTTAAACGGATGGTCAAACCCTGAGCAACTGGTTAATGATTTAAAGCAGGTAAATGTTGAGCAGTGAAAGAAGAATCAAATTCAGTTGGTGGTAAAGGTGCCAACCAATATAGACAGGCCCTTCAGCTCTATTACAGATGTCATGGCTACCAAGTACACAACAGCTGGTGGGGATTAGATAACAAGCACTCTGGTTCAGAGATTAAGCTCCCGAGCTTTATGAGTTTACCAAGCTTTTTGGAAGAGTGACTGTTTGCTTGCTAGCTGGGTTTTTCTTCATTCCCACAACTCTAATTATAAACAGTTGTTCACCTCAAGAGAAACTCTAGTCTTCGCTTCCACTGGTGCCTGCACATACCTTCTGTGAGCACTGACAGCAACCAAATGTCTCCATTATGGGAGAAGCCCTCTCATGGTTTAAATGCAATATAATGTTGAAAGAGAAATAAAGACAGCAAATTTTCAGTGTGAACTGAAATATTAAAGCTGAGTGCTTATCCAATCCATTCCACCTGGGTAGAGGTGGAGGAACAACTTTGATAGGACTATGACACAACACATACTTGCAACACTGGAATGTAATAGCATGGGCTGTGTTGTATGGTAAGACAATTTAAGGTATTAAATGTGTAAGGTCAGCTCAATCCTTCTGTAGGTTTATTTCTAACTGTATGGCAGGATTTTCTCTTGTTTGCAGATTGCTGGGCAATTTTCCATTTAACTTGAGTTGGAGAGCTGTGGACCAAGAATAATGTCTTCTGCATGTAACTTCATATTGCTTCTCCAGTTTCAACCTTACCCTGCCCAAAATGTGCTACTGTCATCCATTCTACCTTTGTAGTGTCCACTTGGGAGAAATGTGGGTGCCCAGCTGATGGAGAAGACAAAAAAAAGCCTGAATCAAGTCCCTCATTGCATTAATTGAGGCTGTTAGTCCTGTGGTACTACTTTCAAACACACGATCCCAGCAACAATCTTCCTGGCTCTTTGCTCCTGCCATCATTTTGCAAATTATAGACCCTGATTGCTTTGGAGCACTTACGAGAGTCAAATAGCTGAGGAAAATTACACCCTAGAGATTCATCCTCATCCAGATGGGATCCATCAGATTTGAATGACCTGTTCTCAAGGATGAGCTCCATTACCATTAACAGAATCTACCTCACAGACATGCACATAATTTTTAGCAGAAAGTAAAAGAAAGAACTTAGTACCTAAAAGGAAACTAATAAGAAAATAAAATCCATATTTTCTAAGCCCACGTAACACGCTTTCTCTAGAACATGATTTGATTAGTTTAAGACCCAAATTCAAAACCAGCCACAAGCTAAATTATTTTGAGTCTGTCCAGTCAAGATGTTGGTTAGCATCATACACTCTTACTGGACAAAGCTATTTTCTGCCTATATCTGAATAAAAAAACCTACTTCATATGATCAACCTGCACCTGTCCAAATAAATAAATCAATAAACAAATGAAACATTCCAACATCTCTTTGTTTACAGTGGCAGAAACTCAAATGAGCCCCATTCATGTCCTATTGTCCAAGTCAAATGTAATTTGAACCCAACCGTATGGAGTTGAGTTTCTATTGTACCCAAAGCATGGTTCTTTCCTAACAGACTAGTAGGAAGGTTGCTAATTATTAATAGCATGTAAACAGTTACCAATGGTTCTTATGGTGCTTTACATACTTCACAGAACATTAATTCCAGCCAGTTTCTAACCAACTATGTCAAGCTCTATGTAGTATCTCTATCTTATCTTTAAGACAAAAGTACTAATTGCTGGACTGATCAAGATTCATGCTTTTAAAAGCCAAGTAACTATGATTACTTGTTAAACTGTTCCATTCCATATATACTGGCCTTTGACAAGGCAATAATAGCAGTTATTGCAGTTACAGACAGCTGGAAAATTAAAGTATCAATGGTCAACATCACTTCTGAAAAACAGAAGTATCCTTGTGAAAGACAAAAGCTGTCTCAAACTTGTAATGCTCTTCATCTTAATAAACATATATAATTGCATTATTACAAAGTAGTCCATTCTCCAATGTCTAAAGGGAACAATCACAGTGTCTTTCAATGCAGTGAGAGAAATAAGTATAACCGATTGCTGGGAGATCTAAACACTGATGACAGAAAGTAGAAAGGAGTATATAATTACATTTGAGAAAGATCTTAAAAATTATTCTTCAAACGGGAAACATGCCCTGTGATGTTTTATACAGACAAATACATCAAAATTATTTTATACTTGTTTTTATCTGTTCAGAATAGCAGTTCTGGTACTGCAACAACTTTGTATAACACATAATCGATTTGGTAAATCTTTAATCACAAAGTAATCACACTTCTTACACAAAGTAATCTACTTCTGTGCTCAGTGATCAGGTTCTGTGATGTTGCAATGCTGAACTAGTGCATATAGTATGTGTAAATTAATAAAGCTGTATTCCAGGAGAGGCAGCATGTGAGACAACTTAGTTTCAGGTTACACAGAAGACAGATCACTTACAGAAGTACTAATTGCATAAGAAAGCCATATCAGGTCAGATGAGATGTCCATCCTGTCTGGCATACTGGCTCTAAAATTTAAGAACAGGGAAAGCATAGAGCAATGCTTCCCCAGAACACTCTTCCAAGACTTTGACAAAAGGCATCTGAAGACTGGCAAAAGACAGTCCCCCCAAATGCATCCAAATAAAACAGTCTTCCACTGACCCCCAAAAAGGAAGCAGAAACAGCCATTTCTATACTACTTGAATGTGTGTCACAAGTCCTGCTCATGTTTTCTGTAAGACTGACACGGCAATGGCATTGATAACTTAGTCAGAATTGCAGCAGCACACTCCCAAGCTTGACAATCTGCACAAGGAGAATCGACCCCTTTTGGATCAGGTGATTCCAGGACAACCATGCACTGCAAAGAGCTCTCTGCTATACAAGTGTTGACAGTGGATGCAAGTTCAGCAGATGTGACTCCTACCTGCACAGAGCTGTTTATGTCACTCATACTTGATCTTCATATTCTCTGTCCTGCTTCTATCCTTTAAATCATTTTCCTAAGACTCTTCCTGCATCTGCTCAGTGCCATAATTACAAGCAGGAGCCTCTTCACACCGTCTGTTATGGATAAGTCAGACTTGTCTGCAGCCTATCAAAACACCATTCTTTTTCCCACCTACACTCTGTCTGTCTCTGGCTAAAATGCCTTAAGAATCACCGTGCCAAGGATATCACTGTCCTTTGCTTTCCTCCACCGCCTGAGGCAATATAGTGTCTGAACAACAAGGTCAAATTGCTGTCAGGATGCCTGTGCAAAGGATAACTTTTGCTTGCTAGAGAAACTCGTCTAAGATTTAATCCAGGCTGGCCCATAAAGAAGAGAAAAAGGACATGGTGTGCTAATGATGTAGGAAGTAACATCCCCTGGCACTGACTGTATGCTGATACTGGGTGTGCTCCACATGTGACAGACCCTGGATATGGTCTGACACAAGTTACTGCGAATTTCTACTCTTCATTTTGGGGCAGCTTGAATGCCTTCCTCCTCCTTTTCCTTGAGGGCAGGGCCCATGCACAGTCTGCCACCCAAGAAGCTCTTGAACCAGCTCATACATGGGGTGACGTGTCTCCACAGGTACCAATACTCAGCGTTACGCTGATACCATCCTGAGCCTTCAAAAAACCCCCAGCTCAAACAAACCAACCCCCCTCAGTCTGGCTGAGGTGTACAGCTCTCCTGGGAGAGTAAACTGGAAATGTGTTAGTGTAACAGGTGAAAGAACACTCACAAAACCTCTTTAAATGTTTCCTTTAACTCTACGTCATGGTAGTTTGACAACACTACAGAAGGGTGCATAAAATAAATCCTCCGCATGCAGATTTACAGTCACAGATTTCCTGTTGTTACTCTGTTGGGAGTTCAGACCATTCAAAAAAAACAAAATTTATGTTGGGTTGGCACTG